TAGGAAGTGTGAAAAAAAAACAAAAAACAGATAAATGAGGCCCTAGAAAAATTCAAAACAGAAATCATTTCCCAGATAACCACAGAGAGGATCAGAAGAATGAAAGACATGATTAGAGACTCTAGAACAGATACAGAATAAAAAAAAAAAATTAAAAAGATGAGCTCAGGACCATGATGGAAATCATGAATGACCAGCATAGGAAAGAAATGGAAACCTTGAATGCCCAACTAAGGATAGAAGTGAAATCCATGTAACAGATTTAAACAGATATCCAAGAAATTAAAAACTCAATAGAAAGCATTCACAGCACAATGAACAAATGCAAAAACAAATTTCAGATACAGAAGATAGGATTATGGTCAGTGACAATGAAAACAAAGATTTCTTAAAACAGTAAGGGATCATGAGAAATCAATGCAACAACTCTTAGATAATGCAAAGGAGAATAAGACCGGTAGGAATTCATGCAGTAGCAGGAGAAAGTACAAATGACATAAAAACAAAACAAAACAAAAAAAAGAAACTGTTCACAGAATTAATGACAGAAAACTTCCCAGAGGGGAAAATTTTGACATACACATAAATGAAGCATATAGGATTCAAGCCAGCCATGATAAAAAAACAGATCTACACCTAGACATATAATAATCAAGATCCAAGAAACCAACAGAAGAACAAAATAGTACAAGCAGTTAGAGAAAAGAAACACATGCAAAGGAAAACCCATCAGAATCACAGCAGACTTTTCAACATAAACCCTTAAGTCAGGGAGAGACTGGCATGAGGTATTTTAAGTCCTAAAAGAAAACAACCTCCAACCTAGACTGATGTATCCTGCAAAATTATCTTTCAAAATTGATGGGGAAATAAGGCACTTCCACAACAAAGAACACCTGAGAAATTTCATGAACACCAAACCGACACTCCAAACACTTCTAACCAATATCCTGGAAAAAGAAAATGAAGGCCACAACTCCATAAGGGCCAACAGAACAAATATACCAGACAAGGCAAGAAATTAAAGGGAGAGAGAGAAAAATAAAAAAGAAAAGAGCCAGCAACAGGGAAATAACATGACAATGAAAAGTCAATACATATCAGTTATAACCATCAACATTAATGGCCTCAATTCACCAATCAAAAGAAATAGGCTGGCAGAATGAATTAAGAAGGAAAATCCAACAATATGCTATATACAAGAAAACCATTTAATCCACAAAGAAATTCACAGACTGAGAGTAAAAGGATGGAAAACAGTTGTCCATGTGACAGGAGCCTGGAAAAAAGCAGGGGTTGCTATCTTATTTGCAGACAGAGAAGATTTCAAACCAAAATTAATTAAAAGAGGCAAAAAAGGCCACTCCATCCTTGTAAAGGGAAAAATCCAAGAGGAAGAAATGACAATCATATATACATATACACCAAATACTAATTCGCCCAACTATACAAAACAAGTATTAATGATATGAAAAACAAAATAAGCACTAATACAAATGTAGTGGGGTGCCTCAATACTCCACTGATGCAAACAGACCATCTAGATAAAAAATCAAACAAAATAACAGAACTGAACCAAGTCTTAGAGCAAATGGATGTAGTAGATGTCTACAAGTGTTCCAACCCACAAAATAAGAATATACATAATTTTTGGCTGCACATGAATCATTCTCCAAAACAGACCACATGCTAGCTCATAGAATATACTTAAGTAAATGCAAAGGAACTGAAGTTATCCACTGTATATTATCAGACCACAGTGCAATTAAACTGGAGATCAATATCTTAACAACCTGCAAGAACTTCACAAACACATGGAAATTAAATAACACCCAACTGAAAAGCCATTGGGGCACAGTGGAAATTAAAGAAGAAATTAGACAGTTTCTACAATTAAATGATAATGCCAATACAACATATAGAAATCTATGGGACACAATGAAAGCAGTTCTATGAGGGAAATTCATAGCAGTAATGCTCATACTAGGAAAACAGAACAAGCTCAAAAAACCTAATGCTTAACCTTAAGCTTCTAGAAAAAGAGCAAGAAAAACCCAAAGCTCGTACAAGGGAGGAAATGATAAAGATCAGAGCAGAAGTTAATGCAATGGAGACTAAGAGAATGATACAAAAAAATCAATGAATCGAGAGTTGGTTTTTCAAAAGAATAAATAAAATTGATAAACCCTTAGCCAACCTTATTCAAAAAAGGAAAGAAAAGTCTAAAATTCATGCAATTAGGAATAAAAAAGGCAAAGTCACAACAGATCCACCAGAAATCCAGAGAAGCATCCATACCTACTTAGAAAACCTGTACTCTAATAAAATAGAAAATACAGAAGAAATGGACAGATTCCTAGATACATATGAACTTCCAAAGTTGAACGAAGAAGATATAAAAAGTCTAAACATCCCAATTACATCCTGTAGAATTGAAAATATAATTAAAACATTACCAACAAAGAAAAGCCCAGGTTATGATGGCTTTATTGCTGAAATCTACAAGATATTTAGAGAGGAACAATCACCACTACTCTAAACTCTTCAATGAAATTGAAAGGGAAGTAATACTTCCAAATTCATTGCTGGAAGCAAGTATTACTTTGATTCCAAATCCAGGGACAGACCCAACCTAAAAAGATATCTACAGGCCAAGCTCCCTAATGAACATAGATAAAAAAATCTTCAATAAGATACTGGCAAACAGAATACAGAAGATCATCAAGATCATATACTCTGACCAAGATGGATTTATCCCAGGGATGCAAGGATGGTTCAACATTGGTAAATCAATAAATGTAACACACTGTATTAACAGAGACAAGGAAAAAAAACTATGATCATCTCAATAGGTGCAGAAAAAGCAGTCAACAAAATTCAACATGAATTCATGATAAAAAATTGGAATAGATGGTCTTTATCTCAAGCTGATAAAGGCTATCTATGAAAAACCAACAGCCAATATCATACTAAATGGTCAAAAACTGAAAACCTGTACGCTAAAATCAGGAATGAGACAAGGGTGTCCACTATCACCACTCCTGTTGAATATAGTTCTAGAAACATTAGCCAAAGCAATTAGAGAAGAGAAAGAAATAAAAGCAATAAAGATAGAAAAGGAAGAAGTTAAACTGTCACTGTTAGCTGATGATATGATACTCTACATAGAAGGCCCAAAAAACTCTGCCAAAAGACTTCCAGGATGAATTGACAAATTCATCAGAGTAGCTGGATACAAAGTCAACAATCAATAGCCAAAAATCAATAGCCTTCTCATACACAAATAACAGACTCACTCAGAGAGCAATTAGGGAAACAATTCCTTTCAAAATAGCATCCCAAAAAAATCTAACAAAGGAAACAAAAGACCTCTGCACTGAAGATTATAGCACTCTGAAAAAAGATAATAATAAGATAGAAAGACACCCCTTCCTCCTGGGTAGTAAGAATCAACATAGTGAAAATGGCCATACTTCAAAAACTGCTATACAGATTCAGTGCAACCCGGATTGAAATCCCAACAGTATATTTTACAGAACTTGAGAGAACAATCCAAAAATTCATTTGGAACTATAAGAAACCTAGAAAAGCAAAAACCATTCTAAGCAACAGAGACATGGCAGGCAGTATCACAATTCCCAAGTCAAAACTATACTATGAAGCCACTGTGATAAAAACAGCATCATACTGTTATTACTTCTTAAATCAATATAACAATTATTCACATAGGATTTACATTGCATTAGGTATTATATGAAACCTAGACATGAAGTTATATGCAAATGGGATAAATGAGATGCCATTTTTATAGAAGAGAATTATCTGTGTATTATGGTATCTGCTTGGAGTCTGGAAAACAATCCTTGTATACAATGAGGAATAACTGTAGAGGGGAAGGAAGGAAGGAAGGAAGGAACAGATAGAGGGAATGGGAGGGAAGGAGAAAGAGGAATGCAGAGAGGAGTACCAGCGAAGACATCTCCAGTGATGAGGGAGAGAAACACCAACTGTTTACTCTGCTCAAACAATGCTCAACTAAGATACTACCATATTCCCCCACTTCATTTGTGTGTTTGTTTGTTTGTTACCAGGGATCAAACTCAGGACCTTGTGCTTGCAAGGCAGGCTGCGGCACCACTGAGGTAAATCCCTGGCCTCCCCTAACATTTCTTTATTCATATCTCTGCTCAAAAATCAGCCAGCCTATCACTCTCTGCTTCACTTTCATCTTAGCAGTCATCAGTATATGATATTTTAGAAGTCTGTTTATTCATCTCTCTGCTCCAATAAAATACAAAGTTATTATTAGACAGAAATGATCTATTCTAAGCACAGATGCATTCTTAGCATCATAACAATGTTTAGCATATAAAAACTATTTCAAGAAGTATTTCTTGAGTGAATTATTACAACTTAATAAAAAATTCAACAATGGGAGTATGCACATGATATAAATACTATTTTTAAAAAAGAAAATGAATATTTGTTATAGATTGAGGGAATAAATAAAAATTCAAAGAAGGTAGAGAAATGTCCTGAAAAATATGTTTCTGGCCATAGTGACCAAACCAAGGAAAAGTTTTTCTTTTCTTTTTTCACTTATTTTAAATATGTATGCGAGCTTAAAAACTACACAGGGTTGCTTTTGTGGTGCTGTCTTACCTGTTTTCTAAAAATATGCATTTTATCATGTGACACAACAGTCAAAAACTGGAAGCACCCTACCACATAGCAAACTAAACACAAACTCCTCTTGAATTTCAGTCATCAAGTGCTCTCAGACATCCCCTACAACACAACACTCTTCAGCACATGCCAGCACCCCATCTCAAAGATCTGCCAGGCTATAAGCCACCTTTCTTTTACTTCCTACATGCACTTGGTGTCATACTAAAGTGTTGTTTGGCATTCAGTAAAGACACACATTTATATCTAGCTGACCAAATGACTTGTTTCTATTTTACATAACTCAATGGAATTAATTATAATTCATTACTCACCAGATCAATAAGGCTTTCTTGTATTCTGTTTAGAGTTGTTCTTAGTCTACTACTACTAAGGCCAAGGCCTGTTGATTCCAACTGAAAGACAAAAAAAAAGCATGTTACTCCTGCTGTAAAAAAAATCCTGCACCTGACACACCTTTGAATTAATTAAAACATTTGAAGAGTTTTCACTCAGTTACTTAGCCTTCAGAGGGTTCCAAACTATCTAAAAATTCTGACACTTCAATCTAAGAACTCAGACCTTAGCCCTCCAGGGAACCAAAGAATCTGTTTCCATTTATGGATTATACTAACATTGACCAATCTTACGAATTATCAGAAAAGAGTTCACTAGAATTTCTTTTCCACAAGCTATTGTTTTAGTTATGAAGCTTGAGATTTTAGACACCCTCTATTCTTCTTAAGGGGTACTGTATTGTGTTTATGCAAAAGCAAAATGTAGTGCACAGCTAATTTCTCTTACAAAAATGAGAGATAACCTAAATTCTCGCTGACAAATCAATGAAATTTTCTCTCAGATTTAATAAAGATTTCACAATATAGAATTCTATTTACTACAACAAAGTCAAAGCATTTATACATCTTTCAAACAGCACAAATGAAGAGTGACTTGATTAAGACATAAAAGCCATTAAGACATAAAAGACAAGGTCACCCCTTGTATGATGATTGGATTGCTAAAAATAAAATTAATTGAGAGATAATCATAGATATATATACTGATTTGGAAAAAAGTTAAAATGTTCTCCATGAGCCAATAAATTAAAAGAATTATTTATTAGTAGTAAAATGTAACAGTATTCATTAACATATTCATAGAAATTATGGCTGTGGCTCTGAATATACAAATCTACAAAATACACACACATTTACTATTATTTTCCTTCCATCTGATACAAGAATAAGAAAATATTTACACGTCAGAAAACCTCAGGCTAAAACAGTTGTGATAACACTGCAATAAAACATGAATTAATTTTATAACATTTCTTAGTTTCTCTAGGTTTTCTACACTCTATTAATTCTTGGTCTTCATTTTCATTAAGGTATTATTTACATATAAATTGAATCCATAAGCTAAACGTACAATTTGACTAATTTTGCTAATTGCCTAAAATTTTCTAATCAGCATCACAACACATAATTCTCTCCCCCTTGAAAATGTCCCCTGACCTTTGCATTAATCTCTTCCTTCCATCCTCATCCTATGATCTGCTGTCGCTAAACTTTTTGCCTTTCTTAACATTTCGTATAAATGGGATCACACAGTGTATTATCTTTTGTATTCTGACTTCTTTTACTCAGCATGCTTTTGAGGCTCATCTGTGTTGTGAGTCTGTTAGGATTTCTGGTCTTTTATTGCTTAATACTTTTAGATAGTGTAGTTGTAGCACTATCTGTTTACTCACCAGTTACTAAGTATTTGTGTTCCAGTTTGAGCTATTTGCATAAGCTACTCTGAATATTCAGGTATATGTCTGTCTGGCCCTGCATTATTTTCAGTTCTCTTGGTTAAATAGCTAGAAGCAATTCATTTAATAAGTGTATTTTTTTTAGCTTTATAAGATACTGCCATACTTTACATGCATTCTAGTTGCTGCAGGTCATAGACTGAATGTCTAAATGTCCTCAAAGTCCAGGTTGAAGCCCTCACTCACACTGTGAATCTGGAGATGAAACCTATAACTGGGGTTAGAGGAGGTCAGTGGCGTAGAGACCTAGTATAACTGATCAGTGACCTTGTAAGAAGAGCTAACAGAGAGCTTACTTTCTCTCACCAAATGTGCAGAGTGAAGGCCATACAAGGGCACACTGATAAAGAAGCCATCTGTAAGGTGAGTAGAGTGTTCTCGTCTGGAAATTAATTGGCCAGTAAAATGATGTTGCACTCTCCAAACCTCAAGAACTATGAGAAATAAGATTTTGTAAAAGCTTTCCAGTCTATGGTTACTTTGTTACTGCAGCCAGAGCAGACTAAAACACTCCACAACTTGAACATCTTGTAATGTTGTCAGTACTGCTAACGGCAGTAGCCACTCTAGTGGATGTATAGTAGTAATGCAATGTGCTTTCTAATGTGCACTTTTCCAGTGACCAGTGATACAGAACATCTTCTCATGCGCTTGATAGCCATTTATGTATCTTCTATTGTGATGTATTTGATCAAATGTTTTCCTTTTTATTTTGGTACCAGGGATTGAACTCAGGACCTTGCACTTATGAGACAGGTGGCAAGCACCACTGAGCTAAATCCCCGGCCCAAGTGTTTTCCCATTTTTAAATTGGGCTCTTTCTCACTGAGTCAAGAAAGTTATGTGTACACAAACAAACATGTCATTTCTCAATATGGTTTGCAAAATTTTCTACAAATTTGAATTGCCTTTTTGAATTTCTGTCTTTCAAAAAGTCAAAGTTGTTAGCCCTGACAAGTCCCTCCTATCCATATTTCCTTTTATGGTTCCATTTCATACATATTTTTAAAGAACCACAGGGCAGGATATATATACTTTTCAAAAATTGTCCATGTTATGTTTATCATGACAGATTATATTCTGGGCCATTAAAACATTTAAATAAATTTAAGTCTAATAAATTTAAAGATTGAAATAGTATGCAATATTCTATCTGATATGTTAGAAGGCAACAACATAGTGACTAGAAAAATCCTGAATACCTGGAAATAAAACACACTTCTAGATGATTAAGTCAAAGTGAAAATGACAAGAAAAAATTAGAAAACATTTTTAACTGAATATACTGAAAATACAACATAATCAAAAGTTGTAGGATGCAGCTAAATAAATATTCAAAAGTACTGAGCTTGGAATGCTGATAAGAGAGGGCTTCTTCAGTCAATGATCAAATTTCTACCTTAAAAGTATAGAAAAAGTAGTATACAAATTAAACCCAGAAAGAGGAGAAAAAGGAAAGAGTGAAGAGCAGAAATAAAAGAAATTAAACATAATTACAAAAGTATAAATAAAATTGACAAAATGTTAATCATACTGATAAGGAAAAATTAGCAGATAAGACAAACTGTGGCAGAAATGAGAAGGCATGACTACAGGTACTTTAGACTGTGAATGAATTGTAAGAAAATATCACGAACAATTTTATACCAATAAATCTGCCAAACTAAATGAAATGGGTAAATTCCTTGGTAAACTCAAATTGCAAAGCCTTACCCAAGAAGAAATAAGAAACTTAAATAGCTCTCTTATCAATTAATTAAATTGGTAAATAAAAAGCTTCAAAAAGTACTAATTCTGCACAAACGTTGAGGAATAGGAGAAAAAGGAACATGCAACAGTTTGTTTTGCAAAGCCAACAACATGACCAACTATTTGTCTTGAGCTACAAATTGACTTAAAAGACTAAATTGTTTTAAAATTAGTGTAATTCACCAAATAATATTCTTCTTTAGAAGAAAAATCTATGCTTGTTTAAATATATTAAAAAATTTTTGACAAAGTATGTTTGACAATATTCTTTTATGAGATAAAAACTCAGCAAGTTACTAGAAGAGAATTTTGCCAACTTGATGTAGGACTCTATAAGATAGCTCATACAATATTCAGCAAAGAAAGTATTTTTTAACATAGTACAGCAAAGATGTGAATATTCATATGATGAATGTCGTTATTATACACCACAACACATATTTTCAAAAAGGAAATATGGTATTAGGAAAGTTAGCATTATGATATAATCCTATGACCCAGTAGTATGCTCTTACACAAAAACCTATCAATCATTTAGGCAAGCCACACAGTAATTCCCAGACATGAGATTAGTTGCCCAACTAATATCACAGTACTAGGAGTGAAAAGGGTAAACTCAGTAAGACTTTTGTAAACACAAAAAGGAGGTACAGGTATGAGTTCTGTGGCAGGCAAAGGGTCTGGTTAAAAAATCAATTATTTTGATAAATATTTCTCATAGTCTTCACAATATATTGGTGACAGCTCAGGTTGTCAGCTAATATTTAAAAAGTCTCATTTACAGTGCAGTAATTGTACACATGGCCAGATTTAAGTAAAGTAACTTGAAGATTTTCCATTGCCAAAATATATCAAGGTTAGAAACATATATTTCACTAAATCTTTTGGCCCAAAATTTAAATAATGAACAATATGCTTATCATAGCAAAGTTTATAATTAGTATATAAATAAAGGCCAGCCAGTCATACAGAAAGATGTATTTGATAGATAAATCTCCAAATAATGCTGTGTATCTTACACAGAATGAAGACCCTTACTTCACATTTTTTAAAAAATCAACTAATTTTAAAAGAAACACATTTTCCTTCCAAAGGATAACTTACTGAATCATTCCGACCAAAAAAGGTATATATGGCATACAAGTAATAATCAAAGAGCTGAGACATGAAATGGATAACATCAAAGGCAATTGGCTTAAGAATGTTCATCATCTGCATATATTTCCCTGAAAAGAAAAAAAAATTAAAAATTAAGTGGAACAATATGAAATCTGTCAGTCTGTAATTATAGTAAAGATACTAAAAGTACTGTATTAAATATTTAAATAAAATTGAGCATGACATTCCTCAGTTGCACAAGCCACATTCCAAACACTCAGTGACACATGACTAGCTGCTACTGTACCACACAGCAGAGTACAACAGTTCCATTACCTTGGAGAGTTCCATTGGACAGCACTGATAAATGATACTATTAGGTTTTCTATTATTATACTTAATTGTTTGCCAAATTTTTATGGGATATCTACACTCTTCTACAAATGATACTATATAAACAGTCAACAAAAGTATTTCTTTTCTGAGAGAGTCCATTTAAAGTAATTTTCTTCAAAAATATTTAAGAATAATAAACACAACATACTTGAGAAAAAGTGCTTTTTTCATAAGTTTAGACATACACACAACAGAAGTTAGGACATCAAGAAGAAAAAGGACATAGGAACACACTGTCCCTTCCCTTCAGCCTCAGCCCTGTGAAATCTCACATTAGAGGCCAGGAACACTTTTTTTTTTTTTTTTTTTTTTTTTTTTTTTGG